CCCCCCCCCGGCCCCTCCATCTGAGTCTGAATGTGATGGAGGTATTGGGGGGCAACAAAAGAGCCCCGCAGCCCAACTCACCAGATTCAGCAGGACCTGGAGGGAAGAGCCCCAACCTCAGGGACACAATAAAGTTTGCTTTGCCAAGACCTTGCTTCTCCATCTCTTCCCAGCTGCGGTGAGCCCTTGTGCCCAGAAGAGGGCGGCATGTGCCAGCACACCCAACCTGGGGGGCTAGGCCCTGCCAGCTCTGCTCAGTCATCTCCCTCTCTTCTCCTGGCACCCCCACCGCCCATATTTGAGGGAAGAACGAAGTGTCTCAGTCCCCTGAGGTCTGCCCCTGGCCTGAGGGAGGGAGCTAGAACTGCTGTGGGTCTTCCTGCATCCACACCCCCTTTCTGCAGGACCCCACTTTCTAGGTACAGAACTGAAAATCTACAATTGCTCTGGGCTACTGGCATCAGGCTATGCTCAGAAAGGGCCTAAACCCCTGTGGCACCAGCCTGAGGTGTGCATCTAGTGGGACCTCAGGGCACAAGCTAGTCCTGTTCTCCCAGGTGTGTCCTGTTCAGGGCAAGCTCCTGCTCACAGGGGCCTCACTTGTATGAAGATCTGTGTTGGGCAGGAGCCCAGAGGCCTGTGCCTTCAAGGAAACTCCCAGGTAGGGAGCCAGGTGGGCTTTAGGGCGGCTATAAAGGGTCTCTTACTAGAGGTAGACAGGTGAACACTTTCAGCTCCTATGCGAGGTCCCCCCAGGGCACCTCTCAGAGCTGAGGCCAACAGAGGATCGGAAAGGGGTGAATGACCCCTTGTGTGGCTCTGGCCTCCTGCCCTCTCCCAGGCCTACAGAGCCACTTTGGAGCCAGTTCATCCATGGTGACACACAGATGGCCCCCAACTCGGGTTATACTGGTAGGGCCTCTGCTGGACTTCTCCCTGCCCCTCCCAGCACCTGATGGCCAAGCCTGAAGTGGGCTGATGGGGAGCTGGCCCTGCCCTCTCTCCCAGGATCCCCAGGTCTGGGTCTCAGAAGGAGGGCTTTGGTTACCTGGGTACAAGGTCAGCAACCAGGCTTGGATCTCCCACTCAGCTACATCATTCTCTAGAGCTAGCAGAGGGAGGGGCTGGTAATCCTGCTGCTTGCTTTCTACACCCCAGGGGATGAAGTGAGCACTGCCCCACCCTCTAACAAATGAGAACAGGGCCACTGACCTCAGGTTAATCAGAAGGAAAAGGTACAACAGTTGAGGTCCGGCTTCAGGTAGGCAGCTGGCATTTCCCATGACTTCCTGCCACAGTGACACAGGGTGGACCAGACAAAGTCCTCACCTTCAAGTCACCTACAGCCTGATGGAAACACAAAAGCCAACATAATTTCAATTACTTTCAAGTGCTCTGGAGGAAGTAACAGGCTAATTTCCAGGGTGGAAGAGTGCTATTTAGTTAGATCTGAGGAGGTGTCTCAGAGGAAGTAGTTGACAATAAGGGGACAGCCAGCTAAGTGAGGAGCTGGCAGGACATCCCTAGGAGCAGGAACAGAGTGCAAAGGGCCTGAGGCAGAGCAAGCTTGGAGGTTTGGACAGAAAGAAGGCTGATATGATTGCAGTAATAACATACTGTGAGCTGGGCGCCACTCTGTCTTGCATGGACTCACCCCTTTAATCCTCACAACCATGCCTTGAGGTGGGTGTTATTAGCCCTATTTCTCAGATGTAGAGCGTGAGGCACAGAGAGGTTAAACAGCTTGCCCCCAAAGTCACACAGCTAGTGGAGGAGCCAGAATTCACTTCCAGGAAATCTGGCCCAGAGATCTGGTTTTTAACAGCTTTGTGCTTGAGGGGGAGGGACAGACAGCACCGGGCGCTGGGAAGTCTCATAAATTTAGAGCAGGAGTTAGAACTGAATCCAGAATGCCTGAGTGACTGGAGCCCTAGGAGGGGCGGCACCAGAGCCTGGTTACAGTAAGGCACACACGCACACAGGTCCTTCCCTTGGCCAGCCCAAGGCAAGTGCCCAGTTCTCGGGCTCAGCCATGGGTCTGCACATAAGGACACTCGACAGCTACACTGTTGCTAACTTGATTTCCCTGTGCTGGCAGGCAGTAGGGGTCAAATAGCAAAGATGGGGGTCTACCTGCATCGCTGAGGGGCCTTCCCCCTCCCCTCTCCCTCAGCCCTAGCTCTTCTTTTCTCAACAGAAGTGTGGGCCAGGGTCAAAGCAGGTGGTGACAAGTGGCAGGTCTGCGGGTGGGCTCTGTGAGCTCTGTGTCTGCACCAGCTGGGCTGTTAGAAGGAACAGGTGTGAGACATCCCAGTTGGGGGATATCAAACCTGTCACTAGGGGGTGGGGATTAACCACGGGGCAGCCCAGGCCACTTCTCACTTCCCTTATCACCTCCTGCTGCCTCCCCTAAATGTTAATCAACCCTGCCCTTCTCCCCTCCTCCTAGCTCCCTCTGGTCAAGGGAGAAATTCAAAGTTTAGGTAAACTGAGGCTGGACCACATTAAGAGGGTCTCTGTCCCCTCCCCCATTCTCATGGGGATATTTGATACTTTCCAGGGAATGTCTTTCATCTCAGTTGAGAGTTTTGACAGCATCAATAGTCATTTCCTTTTTATAAATTGGGACACTGAGAACAGAGACGCGAAGGACTTGCCACAGGCCACACAGCCTGTAATGGCCAGGGGATGGGTGGGGCTAGAGGCCAGGCCTGGACCACTCTCCATTCTGCCTCCCCACTGGTCTTTCCATGGCGGTAAAGGAGCAAGCTGGGTCCAAAAGCCAAGCCTGCAGGTGCAGAATGGGAAGGGACAAGAAGCCATGCCCCAGAGCCCCCTGGTGCCAGCCCCCTGGCTGAACCCCAAGGCTAAGCTTGACTACTGGCATCTGTTACCATGGGGACCCAGGCTGGGCTAGGGGCTGGCCAGTGACAGCCGGCCCTTCACTCACTGATAGAAATCAGGCTCTCAGGCTTAGAGGCCTATCACCCAAGTAGCACTGCCCCCACCCCTACCTCTCCTTATGGCACCTCTGTCCCCCTGCCCACACCCCCACCCTGAAACCCAAGCCTGAGCTATCTCCTCCCTGTGTCTCTTATCTGTGACCCCGGGATGAAGGTCAGGAGGAGGTAACCTTTAATACCCTACCTGGGAGCTGGGGGCTCATGGGAATGTGGGCATCAGGTCACTGGCACTGAGAGCAGAGCCTGAGCCAGCACCAAGCACAGCGCACAGTGGAGAGGTCAACTGGGGGAAGTTTCTATGGAAGAGGCAGAGTTTCAATGCGGCCCCAAATGGTGGGAGGAATGTGGGAAATGGAAATGTGCAGGAGGCTCGGCCTGGGCAAGAGCAGAGACATGGACAGCCTGGGGTGTGTTCTAAGAACAGCGAGCCCTGGACTGGGAGTCTGGGCACCCGTACCTTGTCCGGGCCATGCCACGAACACTAACGAGCTGCAAGACCCTCATCAGTGAATGACGAGGAATCTCGAAGATCCTTTCTAGTTTTGTAGTTCTTTTCATTTGATTCCAACCCTGGGCTCCCCCAGTTATACAGGGGTGGGGCTGCCACCGCCCTCCACAGGCCAGCTCAGGCTCAACTGGCCCAGCCCCTGTGGGTTGCCCAGGAGGCAGGTGCTGCAGCTAGACAGGGCAAAGGCATCCCAGTTGTCTATGTGCGGGGGCAGGGATGGCAGACGACTTTGTGGATTGATCTAGCTCAGGAAGGTGAGAAGGAGGCCTCGAGGTGAGAGCCTTGCCCTCCCACTCATCTCATTAGGTAAATAAACCCACATCCAGCATTTCCCCTGCTCTTCCCACCCTGGGGGTGCTAAGACCCCCACGGAGCCAAGCTAAAGGTTTCCCTCAGAGGTCCCCCAGTACCAGCCCCCTTCCAAAGTCACCATCACCCGCTCTGTAGGGAAGGAACAGATTCCAAGACCTTGCTATTGGGCTGTGCAAGGCTGGGCTGGGCCCTGAACGCCTGGACTCAGCAGAGACTCCAGACACTGACCCTTGTGAAGTAGAAAGAACGGGAACTCTGGAAACCTGGCTCCGCCATTCATTCACTGGGTCGTTCTGAGCTAACTACCAACCGGTGTGCCTGAGTTTCCTCACCTGCAAAATGGGGTGATGACTGGCCTGGTACAGAGTGGTGTGGGACCAGAGGTCATGTGAAGAGGCTAGTGGGCACTTCATCCCAGGCAGCTGCTAAGGGGCCTGGGGAGGAGGTCCCGAGAGGCTCCAAGATTGGCTCTGCCCTGGGGGATGGGATGGAAAGTGAGGCCCAGAACACAGACCTCTTTGGGTCCTCCAGCATCAGTGGCACCACTGTCCCCATCTCTCAGAGGAAATTGCCAAGGCCTAGTGCAGCCAGCTCTCCTGTCCCCACCTCTGGCCAGATCTCGGGACTCCATGGGGGTCTCCCACAGCCTCAGCTACCACTTCCTCCCCACCCCTGGCCCCCAAGCTGTTGCACCCACTGTTTGCTGCCAGTTGGAACAGTCTTAAGGCCTCCTTTGCAGTGGCCAGATAGCAGATACGGGAATCTAGGAGCGCCAGAGGCAGTAGAAGCAAAGTTCCCAGCCAAGCCCACCTCCTGCCCCCTGCGGGGAGGCTCCTCCTTTTAAGGCTGCTTCTGGGAATTTCCATCCCCAGCCAGACCCAGCGACCAAAGATAGATACCTGCTGCTCACCCTTGGGGAGTGGGGCACCCAACCCGGGGGCAGGAGAAGCTGGCCCAGGAAAGGGAGGAGGGGCTCTCCTGTTGGGGTCTGCGAGGGTCGGGAATAGCTCGGGAGACCACAGGGCCAGCCTCCTATTGAGAAGGCTCCAGCAGCCCCATCCTCTGCGCTTGGTAGCCCAGGAGAGGTTGGCAGCCCCGCCAGTGGCTGCTTTGCAGTCTCACTGGCCGGGAAGGTGGACACATCACACCTCAGTCTCCCAATTACGCCCTCCTCCCCCTCCTCCATCTCCTCCTCCCCTCTCTCCTCCTCTTCCCCGTCTCTCCTCCTCTCCCCCCTGAAAACCTGTGGCTTGAAGAGACCTTGGCTTTTCTGGGACTCTACCCCTGGGGACTGCCCACATCTTCTCCTGAGTTTGGGGGCAGGGGGGTAACTGCCCAAGAGACCTCTCCGGCGATGGAAGCCGCCCGCCTGCTGCCCAACTTCACTCTGTAAGTGCGCGGCCTCTCCGACTGGAGTTTTGTTGCCATCGCCAGGCTCCGGCAGGGCAGCCCTAATCTTACCGGGACTCCCACACAGGCTGGCGGG